CTAAATTTCCCTCACCTCTGAAAATGTTTATCTACACACACACACACACACACACACACATACACACACACACACACACGGTCTGGCTATGAAGGGCAGGAGAGAGCTAGGGCAGTAGCTAAGAGGAAGAATTAAGTGCAGAGATATTGAGTATCTCTCTAAACCACATGCGGAGTTGTGTCATCTCTGAACTCTTATGCCGAAACCCTAATCCCCTGGGTAGCTGTATTTGGAAATAGGATCTCTATTTCTCTATCTCTAGACAAAGTAATTACAGTCAACAGGGCCTATGAGGGTGATGCTCTGATCCAATAGAATCAGTGTTCTCATAAAAGGAGACTCCAGAAATCTCTTTCTCCTCCCCCCACCCCAACCCCCACCTGCCACAAGCATGTACAGAAAGATGGTGACTGCCCACAAGCCAAGAGCAGCAGCCTGAGGGTGAAATCTATCTTGATGGCTCCTTGACTTTGGACTTCCAACTTTCAGAATAGTGAGCAATTATGTCTATTGTTTCAGCTAAAATATGGAGCCTGCGGTAGCGCTACGCAACAAATAGAGCCAGGCATTGTGATCAACATGTTCTTTGCTTTTAAATTTTAATCCTCTAAAAAAACCTCATAAGGTAGATGTTCCTGTGCCTCCTTTTTAGAAATGAAAAGATGAAAGTTGACAGGGGCCTGGAGGTATAGCTCCAAAATAAACTGTGCCAATCCCAGCAGACTAGAAGGATTCTATCATCAGCTGGCAACCAAAATCTCACTAGGTCTCTGAAGCCTGGGAAGTGAAATTGCTCAGCAAAATGAGTAACTAGTTCGAGAGATTTCTACCGCAGGCACAGTGGTCAGAATGGTCCTGGGCCCAGCTCTGTGCTGGGCAGAGCTGTCGGGAAACAGAGCTGCTTTCAGCCCCAGTGCTCTGCTCCTGCTCCTCTCCCAGATGAACATTACCTGCCCCGACAGCTCTGCCCAGCACACATTTATACTGAGATGAAAATTGATGATCAGGGAGATGATAAGGGCCTGTGAACCAGGGAAAGAAGCCTGGGACAGATCCCCTCTCAGCATCCACCTGCTAATCTCTATGGCATTTTAAAATGCTATGCTCTGTTCAGATTTTGAATTTTATTACTGTAAATCTTCCAAAGCTACAAATCCTCTCTTAACTGCCACATATCAAATAAAAACTATAGGTACTAGCACGGAATATTATTATTACATATTCATACTGACATTTTAAGAAGGAAATCTGGAACTCCAAGGACTGTAAACATTTCAGGTTCTTCATAAAGAAAGTGAGAGGTTAGAGACAGAAACATTTTAGAGAAAATGCCATATTCAAATTATTTCCTGTACAAAATGGTTAAAACTAAAAAGGCATATTATCAGAAGCAGTGGAGACCATCATATCACCCTGAAGGGAGTGCAGATTGGCACAAAACAGCTTTGTAAAACACCTTGGTGTTATCCATTAAAGTTGAAAATATGCACATCTATCCTGTAGCAAGTCTGCTCCTTAGTAAATGCACACAGAAACAAAGCTCTCGAGAGCAGTGCTGTTCATGATCACTTAGTACTGAAATGCTGATGGGCTTCCCAGTATCCAGCAACATTGACACGGCGGTGGCAAACGCTGACCCATGCACAGGACATCCCATAGCAATGAACAACACAAGCTGTGGCAAAAGGCAACAATGTAAATGAATTTTGCAAACATCATGCAGAATGGAAGCGGACACACAAAGGAAAAGACATATACTGTCTAATCTGTTTATACGAAATTCAAAACAGGGAAAGCGACTCTGTAGGAGTATACGCTTTACTGAGTAAAACAGAAAGCAGAGCAAGGGAAGACTGTAAGTCTACACAGTGACCTCTAAGCAGGTCCAACCCTAACAAAAGATTCCAACAGAAAATTGCCATATTCACTAATTAAGGACCTGTAAATGCGTTTTATCACTGCTTTGCTTATGTACAAGTAAAACTCTGTCATGGCTATTATATATAATTTCTCTTTTCATTTTCACTATATATATATACAGCCTGAAAATAAAAAATTAAAAGATCTGAGGATACAGCTGAGCAGTAGGGTGCCCGGGGTTTAATCCCCAATATCATGGGGTGGGATGGGGGAGGAGAAGTATAAATAAAGAACTACATAGTCGGGGCCTCAATATTTAAGAATTATAACTAAGAATTGCACTAAGAAGCTGTTAAGTAAAAGTTGTTCTGTCTGGCCACCTGGACAGACATCTCTGCAAGACGACCCTGGGCCTCAGAACTCTTAGACACTTGGGGCTTCTTATGATAACACCTGACGCCAGCAGAACTGGCTGCCGGCCCAGTCCACCTTCCCCTCCCACCCCACACCATGTGTATCCCCACCTCGAGCCTCAGGTCTGACCTGCAGCAATGGCCATTTGCAAATATCTGCTGCTGTAACAGGAATCGGTGAGAAGGGAACTCAAATTCTATCAGGCAGCAAGGACAGTGGCACCAAAATGGAGTCTGCTGAGCCATCACCCACCAGTGATCTCACAAAGACATCCCCAGGTGTATTTGGCTGTCTGAGACCTCCCCAAAGCATGACCAGGCAGGCCACTGGCTCAAGGGCACATGGGCCCTCCATGGGCACTGCATGAACACCGCATAGATTGGATCTTAAAAGGAATGCAGTCTCCTGGAGGTTAGAGATTGTACTGTTATCCAGCAGCCTGAGCTCTCTTCCCAATACACTTCTTAAAAATGCCTGGCCAAAGAGCCTCTTGGGTATCCTACACAGAACCTTTCTCAGCCAGTGGGAGCTCTACTTCCTTGCCTTTGTAGTCAGTTTGCTTCTACTCAACTTCCTAGAGCTATGGGTTTGAATTTTTGTCACCATGGGGCCAGCCCTGCTGAAGGCAGGCCTGAGGAAAGGCTCATGAAGACCCGGATGGGCCTGGATCCTTGGATGGGAACTCCCACTATCCCAGTACTTAGCACTTGATCTAGAAAAAAAGAGATGGATTCCCATGTGCACGTGGCCTCTCAGGCCCTCTAGACACCTCCCACTTTGGGAAGCTGCATGGCTGAAAGGAAGCCAGAGCCCCAAAGCCCAAGGCCCCACATAGGGTCCCCTTGTATGGGGCTAATGATCGTCTGCCTTGAAGGGGAAAAAAGGGACTATATTGGGAAGGGCACTCCCAAGCTGGTGGGGTCCTGGCCATCATCTACAGTGGTGCAGCTCTGGGTGGAAGGTACATTAAAAATAGTTCATGAATCTATACACGTATTTTATATGGCTTTCTGTGTGTGTTGCATTTCCCAGGAAAGAATTAACAAAATGTGTCCATGCACAGAAACACACACGTGCGCGCACACACACATGCGCACGTACACACACACACACACACACACACACACGTGCATGCAAACACCATGAATTTCTGGTGCTATAGTTTATAGGATCCCCAAAGACAAATCAGCTCTGTGTAGTTCGTATAAGCACAAACACCACAGGCAGCTAACATACTTCGAGTGCAAGAACCTAAAGGAGACATGCGTATCACCAGCATCACTAACTCTCCGGCTGGTTCTCTGCCCCATCTTGGCCAAATACTTGGGTAGCTGTTCATGGGCTCAGGCAGAGCAAATGAGTCATGGCCGTGTCCTATGGCTGTGCCACTGCAAGTGCTTCAGAGGAGAATTCCTTTCCCTCCTCCCTGCCATGATTATAAACACTGTGTTTATCAAACCAAAATTACAGGAGGCCGTTCCTGCCCGGGTAGAAGCATAAGGAAACCAACTACCAATTACCTCCTGGAGAAACACAGTTCTAGAAAGGCTTCTCTTCCTCATATGGGCAGCTGGGTGCCTCAGGAAATAGTTTGCTGAGCATCTACTATATGCCAGACACAATCCTTATTTTTCTATTTCATGTTTCATTTCATTTTGAGTTTTTATTCTTAATAGGGAAAGCATTTTCCTTTGACAGAGATCCAGATAACTTATTCTCAAAAAGCTTGCCATGTATCCCACATGGTTTAAATATCAGACTTTTCTAAGGTTTTCAGTGGTAGTCCATAAACACACACACCCAACTTCCAAACTGAACCTTACAGCTGTGAGGAGATGAAAAGAAAGTTTAAAAAACTGGCCAGGACTAGCCCACCAAATGCCCCATTGATTTTCCTTCCAAAAAAAAAAATCAAATTCTGGGCTTTGCATCTAAGCTATTTAAAAGCCACAGTTCCAAAACACCAATTTTCCTCCTTTCTGAGAAACTGAAAAAGTACATGTCTCAAGCGACCTTCCCAAGCTACTGGCCAGAGGTGGAGGGAGGCACATTTGATGGCTTCAAAGTGAAAAAAAGCAATAGGGCTAAGAGGAAGCTGAATCAGTGACTAACATGCAGACTGTAGACAGGAAGGGTCACTCTCGTCTCCACTTGGCAACATGCACCTACCCCACGCAAGACCCCACTCACTGTCCATCTTCTCCCTCCTTCGTGCTTTCTCCTGACCCACTGCATGGTTGACCAGAACACCTGGAATGTTTCACAGCACTGCATTCTGTGGTTTGCACAGAATGCTGTAGATGTGGCCAGGACCCCACCAGCTTGGGAGTGCCCTTCCCAAGGTAGTCCCTTTCTTCCCCTTCAAGGCAGACAATCATTAGCCCCATACAAGGGGACCCTATGTGGGACCTTGGGCTTTGGGGCTCTGGCTTCCTTTCAGCCATGCAACTTCCCAAAGTGGGAATCCATCTCTTTCTAGACTGTGGGCTCCTTGAGGGCAGGACCAGATGTTACACATCTTTTTAGTGCAGCTTAATGTAGCAAGGATGCCATGAACACTTCCCATAATTGCGTGCATGAGTGAATGAATGAATGCATGAATGAATGGATTTCTAAGACTATGAATTTGGATTTTCCAACAGCTGTGATATAATCCTTGAACGACAATAGCATCCCGATCCTTTCCAGAATTTACCCACCTTTTCATTTCTAACTTCTGTTTTCAGCTGCAGTGAGCTGTGAGTCCATAATGCCAGATGCTAGCAGGAGCATGTTGTGCATGCTTCAAGAAGAGTTATGAAAAGGAGGAAGCCAGCCAGCGAACCGGAACACTGGAATTATCCTCCTGGAGATTCAGAGGTCCAACATTCCATGAGGGAAGATGTGGGCAAGGGTGAGTGGTGCAGAAAATAACATATACTTTGATTTCCTTTTCTGCAGTTGAACTCAGATTAATTTCTCTAAAACAATAATATGAATGCTGTCCCTTTGTTATATAGGTCGGCAACTAGTATTTTATATATATGTCAAATATATATACATATGTATTCATATATGTATATGACTACATGTGGTATATGAGACAGTCAGATTTTGCTGTTAGGTGAGTTTTTTACATATATAGCTTGAGGCTTATAGGAAGTCCTCTCCTGTTGAGAAATTTTTGGGGAAGCAGTCCTCTGAGATACAAGTAGAAGACTACGCCCAGGACAGCTGGTGCCTGAGCAGGTCTGGAAGATAGATGCGTGAACTATTCAGAAATTGATCACCCAGTCAAGGATTAACACTTTTTTTTTTTTTTTGGTCCTACTTTTCTTTGCCAATCATTTAATTTCCATTTAGCTATTCCTCAAGAAAACCACCCTGACCTGGATTGGGGCTTAAGGTTAAAATGGTCAACCAAGGCTTCCTAAAGCTTTCTGAACATTAAACAGAAAAAGCTACATATGATTGTATCTATTAATTGGCTTCCAAGGGAGCCAAGATCATGGGCATGGTGTGGCGTACTGAGGGGTCATAGAAACTTAGATAGGTGTCCTTGTGGTAGAGTTGGCCTGAGATTGAGTCACCTGGGGGGTTTTGGATCTTTGTTTCTGTGTTCATAAAATGGTCATAGGACAATTGTTCACAGGATGAAATGAGAAGGTGCACTTAAAAATAACTTGCTCAAAAAATGGTTAATTCTCTTATGTGTTGAGACCGATCATCTGTTGTTTGTATTATGTAGAGAAGCAAGCGATTGTAAAATATTTAGGTTCTACTTTTGCTGCTGTGAAGTAGTGCATGTGTGTGCATGCAAAATCAACAAATAAAAAAGCACCAAGCAATCATCTCAGTCCAAAGAGGGCTGTGTTTTATTTGCAAGAAAAAGGCTATAAGCTAAATATAATGACAAATATTTGCTCTAAACATGTTGATAAGCCATACAAGGATTTCCCTGGAAGTTGTTGAAAGCAAGTTTGGTTTTCACATCACTGTGATGTTTAAAGTAGAGTGTTGACTTCTTAAAAATCTCTCCTAGTTCTTGGATTTTAGTACACAAATCTATCATAGAGCTGGACCTTTTAGAGGCTTCAATCAAATGAAATTACTAATTCAAACTGGAATGAATTATATTTATTTGTGGCTCCCTAAGACATTCACTTTGAATATGAATTTCCTTATTGTAGTAAAATGAAATTAATCTCTTATTTGTTTATACCTACTCTGCCAGATTACTGATAGAAAAACAGAAAGAAAATGAGTCCTTAAAGCAAGCCAGTATTTCACGACAGCTGAGTTCCTGCAATGAAAATTATCAGGAACCCACCCAAATGTTCCTTCCGTTACCTGCTGGTTCTTGACTTTGGTATTCAAGACCTAACAACAAGACAGTTCTGCTTCCTGAGATCTTTGATTAGCTTTAGAATATTCTACATGGAGAGTAGAGATGTCCTTTTGAGATCTGTAATTCCAAGACATCTGTCACTTTTCCTCTCATCGTTAAGTCTTATTTCAAAGTCCCATACACACACATGCACACACACACACACACACACACACACACACTACTTTGTATCAGCAAGTACAACGTAAGTATCTTTAAATGACCATTACCATCTGGTGAATAAAAGCATTTATTCCATGTTGCAGTGCTTTCTATGGAAATATTTCCAGTGTTTTTGAGGTAATAGTAAACTGCTTAATGTGAACCTGAAGCCACAACCCTGCCACCGAGATGTAGCAGGACCTTGAACAGGTTAATTAACCTCTTTGTGTCTCAGCTTCTTTACCCATAAAATGAGGACAGGAACACCCACCTGGAGGGATTGTTGTGGGGATTAAAAATGTAAATTGCTTAGAATTACAGCCACCACAGAAGCCCTCAACAGATGCTCTGGAGACACCCGAGCTCAATAAGACAGACATTCCACACGGCTCATGGAAGTCACACAAGGGAAAGCAGGGTGGGTACCGGAAGTGAGCAAAGCTGGGTGGCAGGCTGCATTTGGTGGCTCTGCTGAGCTTTCTTATGTTGTGGGGTTCCAGGTCCAGCAGCAACAATGAAGACACCATGATCAGTGCAATCCTTTGGGGAAATGTGTACTATAGTTGTAAACAGTCTCAAAAGCAAGCCCTTTGCAGAAAACCCAGCGGATAAAAACAAGGTCCCGTGCCCTGTACAAACAGGAAAGGGAACAGAAGGAGGAGAGGTCATGTTTCACCTGGAGCTGGAAAACCCAGGCACTCTTTTACTGTAGTTGTTTGGTTTTGTTCCTTTTAGAGCTGGTAGTTACCCGTGAGCTGAGGCCCCACTAGCAAAGATACAGGGGCTGCTTGGAAAACCTGGAAGACTGCAGAGGAAATCTTTTCAACTGCAGACTTTTTCTTTGTTGTTCTTACTCTTCCTCCCCAAAAGAGGGTATGAGGCTAGCAGCTGGGCATGCTGTGGGTTAGCTAAAGACAAAAACCAAACCCAACGCTTGCGTCACAGAAGACCAGAAAATGTCGACAAATGGAATTTGAAAATGTTGCCCCTTTACTCCCGCTAAATACAAGTTCAAGGCAGGTCCAAAGTAGATGTCTACACTATGTATTTACATCTGCCTTCAGCTTGTGCTAAATGTCCTAAAAAGGGAAATGAGATCAAGAGGGGTAATTCTCAAACCCTTTAATCACTCTTTGAACGATATGATCATTCTGACAGCTTTTAAGGAATATGAAAACTAGTGAAAATGATCACTCAGCACCATATACTTAAGAAACAATTTAACCAGTTCAGAGTCCCAGGTTGTTCCTTGGCTATGAAGATGGGAGAGTAGGGATCTAAACGTAGACTGAGTTCTCAATCTGCCTGCATTCGTATGTACAGGCAAACAAATGTATGCCTGTATATACAGCTGTAACAAAATACCAGAGTCAGGGCTCAAGCAACAGAAAGCTACTTCCTCCCGGTTGGGGAGGCCGGAAGTCCAAATTCAAGGTGCAGGCAGGGATGCTTTCTCCCGAGGCCTCTTTCCTTGGCTTGCAGGTGTTGTCTTCTCCCTGTGTCTTCATGTAGCCTTCCCTCTGTGTCTTTTTAGGGTACTACTATATTGGATTAGCCCAGCCTCAAGATCTCAACTTTAGCTTTGCCACTACTGTAAAGACTCTGTCTCCAAATACAGTCACATTCTCAGGTGGTGTAGGTTTGGGCTTGAAGGGAGAGGCACTTGTCACACCACCTAAACATGAGCACGTATAGTCACAAGGACAATTTTGGGGTTTTTTTGTGGGGGTGCTTTTTGTTTGTTTTTTCAGACAGGGCCTCATTCTGTAATTCAGGCTCTCCTTGATCTCACTATGTAGCCCACGCTGACCTCTAACTCATGATGATCCTCCTACCTCAGCCTCCTGAGTGCTGGGATTACAGGCATGTGCCACCACATCTGGCATTGGACAGTTTGGTTTAACATCACAGTCAGGTCCCCAGGAAAAACAAATTCTGAGATGGACCGCTAGAGGCTCATGAGGAATGCACTCAGGAACACCCACAAGGCAAAAGAGGAAGCAGAATTAGGTAGGAGAAGGCAAGGTTGAAATAAAGGTCACAGTTACTCACTTGGGCCTTTGGGGCTGACATGGACCTTCTGAGTTGCCTGGAACTGACCCAAGCGTTTGGGCTGTCATACCCTTACCTGCACCAGATGTTGGATGTGGCTGCTCCAGGAAGGAGGCCAGATGTGCAGGAGGAAGCGCTCTTTGGCAGAGGACAATCTCGGAAGGAGATGTGATTGAGAGTTGCTGGTTTCCAGCCTTCAGTAGCTGACACAGTGAGCAGCTGCTCAGGCTGAAGTGGGGTCTCTGGTTGGAAATCAGCACATTGAAGAGACGTCTACATACCGTGTTCATGACAGCGTTGTCACAATAGCCTAGACAAGAAAACTCCCTACGTGACCATCTGCGTGTGAACAGATGATGAAATTGTGGTAGACGTTCACAGTGGGATACTACTCACCTTAAAAGGAAGGAAACCTTGTCGTTTGTAAGAACATGGGTGGGGCCAGAGGACATTATAGTAAGTGAAACAAGCCAGTCACAGAAGGACAGATGGCACATGGTCTGCCTTATGTGTAGAACCTTAAAAAGTCCCCTTCACAGAAGCAAGGAGTGGAACAGTGGTCACGAAGAGCTGAGGTCCGGGGAAAATAGGGATACATTGGTCAAAGGGCAAGTGCCTTCAGTATAAAATGAGCCAGCTCTGGAAATCTAATATCCAGTCCAGCATGATGACCTACTTAATTATACTGAATTATAGGCTCAAAATTTGCTAAGAGGATAGACCTTAAGTGTTATTCACACATGTGCACAGGTACGTGCACATACACACACACATACACACAGTCATTATTTAAGGTGATAGCTATATTGATTAACCTGATTATGGCAATCACTTTACAGGACACACATACAATGAAAACATCATGTTTTACAACTTTAAATTTTCTGACTTTTATTTGCCAATTATACTTCATTAAAGCCAGAGGGGAGAAACAGGAAATTTCTTATCAAGTCTCTTAGCAGATGCCAAAATAATTTACTATCCCTAATACATGTGACCCAACACTGATCAGATAAAATAAAATACAGCCAGGCAGGAGGTCCACTTGTAGCTTAGAGAAAAAAACCGTGAGCTGTGACTCCAAAGAAATCAGGGTTCTGACCTCTCTCCTGCTCTTCACCAATCAACATTGCTTGCCCTCTCTAAACTTCTGGTTTCTCCAGAAAAGATAAGGATAAGTCCAACTTTGTTGGACACTCAGTAGACATATCCAAAAACAATGTATTTAGGTCTAGTGCAAAGCTCAGCACACAAAATGAGCCGCCTAAAAAACATGAATTCCCTTCCCGTCTTCAGCAAATAGTTCATTGGCA